CACTACTGGAAATAATTTCGGATTTTTCTCCACAATATTTTTAACAATCTCAAAATCTTGCTGCATGTTTTGAGAGAGGTATGGCATGATGGAGTATTCACCCAAAGCGATGGCTCTCTTGATTAATTGCTTGTCATTTCCAAATTTTTCAAAATTAGCTCCTTTCAGATATTTGGGAAATGTTATTTTCAACCATGTCTCCACCACTTCTCGATCAAAAAGTACATGGTTATTCTTGGCATGATAGAACGATTCAAGTTTGTGACACTCGTTACTGATTTCTGAAATGTGATGCTGTGTGGTTTTCATCATATCAGAGAGATTGATACTTGGTGTAGAATCTTTCTAAACATGCCATAATCATTCGCTTATCATTCTTAATATTTGGAGGCGCAAATTCAAGTAATCCATAGTTGGATTCGTGTCCTTTCGAAAAAACTTCAATCAACAAGTCCTTATTCGACACAACTTTGTCCCTAATACCGTCTACTGATCTTGCCATTTGCAGAAATTTTGAGAAAGGTGTATATTTGAGCATGACACTCATGATAGACACATCTTGCTTCAACTCGGTATTAAGGATTGGATAAATGAGGTCTGGGTTTTCCTTGACAGCTTCTAAAGCAACCAACTTGTCATGTTGAATCCATTTTGGGAGTGAGGAAAATAGAGTTGGATTATGAGAAATCCACCTTCTCAAGACCACTCGACTTTGGTTCTGACCAGACATTTGAATAATGTCATACATTTTATGGTGTCGAATCATCCAAGTGCATAGAAATTCATTCTTCTTATCATCCTCATCCAAATATTGTGAATATTGTTGAATGTGTTTAAGACTTGATGAAGTACTTGTTTGCATGAGGACAGGCATTGAAAAAAACCAGCATTTGGCATACTCTACATTCACCGAAGATGACGATGCCATTGAAAAGTACGATAATAATTCCTTCTCGTTTTGGAAGGTTGATCTTATATTTGCCAATACTTCAGCCAACTCGACGAAAAACTTTCGAAAGGAAGAATTGAAAAGCAAACGTGGATCTATACTTTTTGCCAAATCAGACACCAATTTTTGAGTATGAGGAAAGACTCCTTTCAGACTCATCAAGTTATGGAAACCATGCCAACTATTACTTAAATACTTGTTGTTTTGATAAAAGGCAGAAACGAGAGCATAATTCAAGCAATAATTCTTCATATCATCATTGTTGGAGAGAATTTCAAAGTGATGATGATCCGTTGTTGTAGTATTGGTGGTCATACGATTCGGGAATAATAGAAAGGAAACCTTCTTTGGATGTTGGCACAATAAATTCTTGTGCAACGATCGGTGTTGCTGTATGAACAAGGGTAACGTGATAAATTCTTCATACGTTAAAGATCCCATAAAAGCCTTTTTACAAGCAATATCCAACGGAATGAATTTCTTACATAATTGATTCATGTGTTTTGAAACGAGTACAAGTTGAGTATAATCAAAACAATCACAAAAGGCAATAATAATGGAGAATAATTCATCGGGAAGTTGATCATTCCAATGTTCTGTTGATTCCGAAGAAGAAGAAACTGCTTCATGATGAGTTACATTTTTCTTGTGTTGATCTGTAATGGTCTC